CTGAATGTCCTGAGATCCATACCTCAATCTTTTGAAATAGCACAATTTTATGCTTCATATAAAACTCCCGGGGCGGGGTACGTTGGTAACTCTGTTACAAATTCTTGTTCTAGAGACAATAATCGATCTGATTTAGACGGATTGAAAATGACAGGCCATTTTTCTGCCTATGCAGCTATTATTTCAATATCTAATTATAATTGTTGTGCTGCAGTTTTAAGGGTTTTCAATAACAAGATAGAGACTGGTATCCTCAGCAAAAAAATTAACATTGGATTGAAAATATTGGACCATGTCATTTATGTAGTTGAGAAAAAGTAAAGGACCAAGGATCGATCCTTGTGGAACACCAGCTGAGTGAGCACCCCAAGTAGATTTGGCATTTCTTAGAACAACACACTGGCGTCTGCAACTTGAATAATCCCGAAACAATTCAAAGATTCTTCCCGATACACCTTAATATTCTAATTAATAGAGAATTACTTTGTGCCAGACTTTATCGAATGCCTTGCTTCTGAAGAATATAACTCGATCTACGAGACCGTCATCAAGTGCTTTGCAAAGTATGTCATAAGTATAAACAAAGTGATTTACAGTTGAATCCCCGGGTATAAACCGAGATAACACAGGCGTAAGAATTCTATTTGCGTTCAAATGATTAAATAAATGCTTAAAGATCAGTCGTTCAAAAACTTTTCCCATAGTGTTGAGCAGTGAAATTGGTCTATAATTAGAAGGGAGAGATGCATCACCTTTTTTAAGGATAGCAGTAACATGGGCTTCCCTCCAAGAGACTGGTACTTACAGCAAGATAAAGACTGATTTAACAGATACTAGTAAGTTAAAGGAATAGAGAGTTCTTTTGCAGCTTCACGCAAAATTTTGTTACTAATACCATCTGGTCCAGATGCTTTGTAGACTTTAAGAGATTTAAAAATCTTCAGTTTCAGGTGCAGTTAGTAAAATATCGTTAATAACAGTTGACGTTGTTTGTGGACTTGGGTCAGGAACATTTGAGTCAGAATTATCAATAAAGGTTTGATGTAAGAAAAACTCGTTCAATAGGTTTGCCTTTTGGTCTTCAGAGAATACAATTTCCTGTGTGTTTTGATTTTATAATGGGGAAATTGACGTTGTCTGTGTAGGTTAGATAAAATAGTTTAACATTTTCCACCAGTCTTTTGAAGATAACGATTCCTGTTTTAGTTTGTCTGATAATGTAGAGTAATAAATAGCTTTCGCCTCTTGAATCTGAGATACTATTTGATTTCTTAATTGTTTAAATTTCACCAAGTGCATATTGGATTGAGTTAATTTAGCTTTTCTGTACAATCGTTTACGTCTACGAATATTTGACCTGATAGTGTTTGTTATCCATGGGGCATCTAGAGGTCTTACATATATATCCTTACTTGGTATATTATATTTAGAGATTATTTAAATTTGATTTAAAACGTTGTCTGCGTATTTACTGATATTGAAATCGAAACATTCTTCCCATTGGAAACTGTTAAAAATCATTTCGAAGCTTGACGTAATCACCAGGATTGTATTCCCATATAGTGCATTGAAAGCATTGTTGTTTTTGGTTTTCGGAATTTAAAAAGACAAAAAACTAGAACATAGTAACGCTGTTAACGTTGGTCAAGGATGTTTTCGCCTACTCCAGATTTGATAATAGTATTTTTATTTGAAACAAAAATGAGATCGCTCAATGATTCTTCAATTATTTGTTCCATATTGAATTGATGACAAATTGAAAGAATTTTTCTATTTGTGTTAGTATTCAATGCGTCATAGTTAAAATCGCCTGTAACAATGATGTCATTAATATCCGTGTCAACAGCTAATGAGATAGAGTCTTCAGTAACATTATTGTAAAGTGTGTTGGAGTTAGAAACGCGATAGAAAAGACCGATCAGGACACTTTTGTTATTTTCGAGACTGAGTTCTATCCAAATATTTTCTACACGGTTGAGTTCTAAATCATATCTCCGTTTATAATGCAAGTTGCTTTTAACATATACCATAACTCCACCATGAGAATCAAATGTACGATCTTTCCTTTCGGGTATAAGAAATGACAAGTGGTCCTCAGACGATACCGAGTCGTTAAGCCATGTTTCCGAGAAAGCGAGTGTGTCAAACTAATTGAGTTCAGTAAAGAGCATGTCAAATTTATTTCGTACACTTTGAACATTTAAATTGCATAAGGAAAGATGATATCTGAAATTCGAAAGAACGTTTGATTGAGTACAACTTGTGGAAACAGGGCCAGGGTTTTCATAGATATCTCCAGATTGTAACAAAAGAATGGCGAGCCATGTACAAAGAGTCATAAGAGAAATAAATATCAATGCATTTTATGTAAAGAATTTATTATCATATACGCTTGAGCGGTTGAAAGTAAATTTCTTCAGAGGCAGATGTATTTTGAACTTTATATTTGAGGATCTCATGATCTCAATGTATAAAGAGCAAATGTTCGAGTGTGACAGAGTACTTACGCCCAACAGAAAGATCATATTTGTGAAAAGTGGAAAAAAAACCGAAATGTTTGTACGAACCCATGATGGTGAGTGTGTTTAGTTTATCATATTTATGTTATTGATGAAATAAATGATAGAAAGAGAAATATAGCCATCATGTACATAGTAATGTTTACATAGATGCCGTTTTTAGAAGCGATACCGAATTCTTTGACAAAAAGTGAAACATTTATTGAGATAAGAAAGGTAAAAGGAAAGTATAGAAGGAAATAAGAGGAAGGAAAAATGCAAAGATGAGAGAACATGTACATGTTACTGAAGAATGGGTGGATAAAATTGGCTAAAGTTACGTTTGTTATTTATCTATCTTAAATTATAATTATGCATGATGTGTCGTTTTCACACAAACGCTTACTCACACGCACGCACGCATGCACACACGCACGCACGCACTCACCATACGCACGCACGCACACAGTGCCCGCGCGCGCCCATTCAAAAATGCACGTCACACGCAAACGTACAAGCAAAAAAACACGTTCATATTTGTATACATACATAGTATTTAGTAAAGTAATGATTGGTTAAATAATATTAATAATGAGTTATATATATTGAGCTTTATGTTAATTTAGTTCTTAATATACTGATCATTGTTTACAACAGTATAAAATTACTTTACTTTTTACTGCGGAAAATAATGACATTACATTGCGGCATTTAGTTTTTTAAAAGTGTTCAGAATTTAGTCATTTATTACTAGTATAATTTTGAAAAGTTTGATGTGGAAATTGAAATAGACATTAGGTGATGTATGAGTTTGTTTCTTAAGATTATGTTTAACTATCTGTTAATGCTATTTGCATCTGTATCAAACCGTACAGATAATCCTAAATGGTAATACATAGTGATGCTAGTAATTCTACATGTAATTCATATATAAACGTAACACTCAGGAGAAGAATTTCATAAAATGTAACGTATATAACAGCTAAACAGAAAGATATAAATTTAAAACAAAAAAACAAAATACCTGTTTCTAGGATTTGATTAGTTAAAATATACAAAAAAAAAGAAAAACAATTATATGAAGAAACTTGTTATAAAAGTAGGCTATAGATCTATATTCTTTAAAAATTTTGTTGTTTCAATTATAATGAGTCATGATAATCAGTTAAAACAAATGACATCACAACACAGTTACGTCATCAAATATGAAAGAAGAGAATAAAAAAAATAACTGGAATCTAAACAGTCAATATAAGACTATGTTTCAAATATCTATTTATCTTAAGTATGATATCCTATAGTAAAAATTTAAAAATTTTAAAAGGGGTTTTTGCCAAAAGTTAAATAACAGTTAAACCTAAAGACCAAAAAACGAAAATTTTAAGGGTTAAAGAAAAATCCCCCAATGTTCTATGTTTAATTTAAAAAAAAGAATAACAAAATTTTTTGAAAATAAACATGTTTTTCCTAGAAAAAGTAAAAAAAATAAAAGCTAAAATAAAGTCTTAGAAAAAAACCCAAAAACCCATACGTTCCTTTATTTTATTTTACAAAGGATAAAAAATTTAATAACTGAAAAATTCCCATGCAAAGTAAATTTATATACAAAAAAATTTTTAAGGGATATTAAAATTTTAGACTACCCGTCAAAATAAAACAAAAAACGAGAAACATGTAAAGACTTATCTGGTTTTCCTCAATCTAAATATAGAACATAACAAAGTAAATGTACAGACATTCAATCACTTTCGTTTTTAAAGGTATCGACCCTATATTTGACAGACAATTTTTTAAATATTCAACATGTCGTATTTTAGTCATTTTAAATTATATATATATAGACATTTTGTCGAGTGAGTTTGAGGTGTGAAAAAAGAACCAAATAAACAATGAAATACAACTAGACTCCATTTAGCTGGTCTGCGACTGATTCCGAGCCACTCGCAGACTTTCAGGCATTTTGGTGTCAATGCAGTTAATGACATTTTCGACATCTTGGGACACTCCAGAGTCAATTTAATTGGTCTGCAACTGATTCTGACAATGTCGCAGACTTTCAGGAAGTTTTGGTGTCAATGCAGATAATGATATTTTTTATTTCTAGGTACTCTCTAGAATCCATTTCAATGTTCTGCGACTGTTTCTAAGGTACTCGCAGACTTTCAGGAATTTTTGGTGTCAATGCAGATAATGATATTTTTGCTTTCTAAGGACTCTTTAGAATTCGTTTTATTGGTCTGCGACTGATTATGGGGCACTCGCAGACCTTCAAGAGTCTTGGTGCCATTCCACGCATGCGAAAATGGATAAACAAAGCTCAACCGACCATAGATTACAACCTAACGAAAACAACAACATTACCACGATTGGCGGATAAAAACATAAAAATATTAACTCTAATTCAAAAGTTAAGTTAATGAGATCCTAGGAAGAAATGACGAAATAGGAAAGTAAAAAATAAAAGAAAAATTATATACAATATAAATATAAATAAGCACTTACAACGACATATAACGATGCATTGCGCTTGGACTAGACATAAACAAGTCAAATCTAAAGCCTCGTCCGATCCTGTCAAAATTGTCCCAAAATATGTGTTCAAAGGTCTAAAAAAGAGAACATTATATCGAATAAAATTCGTTAGTGTAAATCAGTGAATTTTGCACAAGCCGAATTATTAACAGTACTTGAAAATACCCCTCCCGTCTATGAACAGGCTTATAAATATATGAAACCGAGCTTTCAACATTTTCAACTTTGTCGTTATAGACATTCTTAAGGGATTCTTTTTTTATCTTCATTTTATGTGTGTCTTTTTATTATTTTTTTTCTAATTCATTTCTCCTTGTAGTGTTTCTTAGTACAAATAAAGCAAAAACGCACCCGTATTTGAAGTAAATTAAAGAATCCTAATGAGTGGTTTATATATTCAAATCGAGCTTTGATATGTCGTACTTAAATTGTCGCAGCATTAAAGTCTAAGCAAGGTTATCCTTTATAAGACCCGTCATTTTGGGGTTTTGGATCGTGAATGTTACAGACAAGTGACAACTACATACTGTATTACATTTTGGATACCTTTCTATTGACATTGTGTCAGATTTTATAGTTAAACGATACATGGAAAATGGAATTATTTACCTGCACTCAAGTTACCGCACTGTTTGTTGAGCATGCACGTTGATTAGCTACATATTTTTCTCGATTTTTCTATTGTGAGGACAGCACGGGGAAGAAACTGTAACACGCAGGATGGAGTTCTTATGACAAGTTATCATAAGAACGCAATCCTTCATGTTAAACTTCCTTCCCCGTGGACAGGGAATAGGGAAAAGATATTAATTTAACACTCAGATTCAGAAGCTCGTACAGTCGTCACAATTTCTGGATTTTTATATTGTAAAGGCATGGAAAGAGTTTTTATTCGCCTAATAATATAACACAAAAGTAAAAGAACATCAAATATCGAACAAATCAGATAGCCTTGTGTTTCGATGCTCTTTCTATTACTCCACCGAAGTATTTCTAATGGTTTACATGAGTGTCATTCACATTAACACTAGGTCAATAAAAATAAAGAGACTTGAAAATATGAAGAAATATCAATGTTTTAATGGACAAATATGTACATTGTATTTGCTGTGTTTCAGAATTAAATAAATTAGATTTATACTATATAAATACCCGGGTGATTAAGTTGAGAAAAGGGTTATTACTTATTATTACCATTTTATTAAAGAATTGAATTGGTGACATACTTACATTTACGGGCTTGGTAAATTTCTTTTCAATGACTTTTGTTTCTGCATAGGAATATCCCGCTTTTTGGAAACCATCCCAAGTTGTTTCTTCACATTTATGTGTTTCCTCGGACACACGAACGCCATGTCTTGGCTATTTAAGGAACAAATGATCAATTTTACAAGACACAATTATTTCAAACCTTCTACGGTAAAGAAAAAAGTTAAACATGTAAATGGAATCCATAAGAAGAACATTATTAAGGAGAACTAGAAAAATGACCTTACGACACAGATGTCCCTGCCATATCACATTTTTAACTGCAAGTACAACTTTGTATTTAAATTGTGATCATGTGTAATAGTTCCTTTTTAAATCCTATCATACATGTAAAAATATAATTCTGGATAAAGTATAATCCATCGGAAGCATTTATTGCAACGAATTACATGAAATTGCAGACTCGGTCTGACTGACGTTGGTCCATACAGCCTTAACCTGGACTGAAGAGTATATGTAAACGAGTTAAATTCCGTGAAGCGGCATTGCCTTTTGGCTAGGGACTAGGATCTCTTGCGGGAAACATTGTCATCTGATGCTTACAAAGACTTACAGATAAGGTACGGACACGAACTCTTAACTGCAGTTCACAACGTATGACAAAAACACTGAATTAGTCTCTCATTGTGACCTTGGCCTAAGATCTATGGGCACGTGATTTTTCAAGCGACATATTGTCTACTTATGTCAGTCAAATGTACAGATTTTTCCCATCATGCATGCAGAAGTCAGGGGTCGAAGACGAAATATATAATTATTCAAATACATAAACGCGCATGCTCACACGCACATGCGCGCAGGCACACACGCACACAGTCAAAGCAATGTAAATTATAAATGTAAAACATTATATTAGTAATTTAAGTTAGAGTAGAACTTTTTTTTTACCTACTGGTTAAAAATTATTTATCTACAAAAAAGTAAAGTTAGCCTAGATATTTTTCCTTCTAGTCTTCATAAGCTTTTAAAATTTAAACTGAATCAACACTTATGTCGCTACTTATAACCCATTACTCGTACTTCATGAGCATTTTGTAAAAAGTGGCTGTTTTCATTGAAAAGTCTCCCGTTACAAGTTCAAATTTCTATAAAACTATAAACTGCTTCAATACTAATCAAACTTGGCACAGGTGTTGACTGGACCATTGTCTTTGTTACAACTTGCTCAGACGTAAATTTCCTGTTACCATGGCAACGAGGATGACATCTCAAAATTGCCAGAAATCACTATTTTGCGTTGATTTTTTCAATCAAAATTGATTTTAAAGTGCTGCAAATTCTCAATTGATTGAGATAGAGTCAAATTAATGCTTTATGATCGTTACCTTATGATCGATCTGGAGCCATTTTAGCCTCTCACAAGTACATAGTTTTTTTTGCGATGAGGGGGACTGCCGCCCCCTTCAAATCCTCGCAACAGAAGGGGGCACACTCCCCTTCTGGCAACCCCCTGATGTATCTTTTGGTTGGGGGCCGCGCCGAAAAAGTCACTTTTAAAAAACAACATTTCTCAAACTAAAACAAGTATTGGGGGCTTAAATAAGGCATTTTTTACCATTTGAGACAACAAAAAAGGGGGGGGGGTTGTTAAAAACGTTTAAAGGCGTGTATATCGCGTAATTGGTTAAATACTTCCAATTAAAGGCGATAAAGAAATTCGTTTCCAAAATAATTGCCATCATAAAATAGAATACAATCGACAATACTTCTGTGTAAATTGAGAAGATGGAAGTTTATAATCCATATACATGTATATTACCTTTGAAAGGTATAATAAATATGTGTTGTCATTAGATTGATGACTGTTTAAATCATTCAAGCATCTTACATACAATCGACAATACTTCTGTGTAAATTGAGAAGATGGAAGTTTATAATCCATATACATGTATATTACCTTTGAAAGGTATAATAAATATGTGTTGTCATTAGATTGATGACTGTTTAAATCATTCAAGCATCTTACTGGGACGCAGACTCCCGTAATGACATGACTTGATAAAACCACCTGACTTGCGATCATTTTATTACTAGTATGACGCATTTGCAACTCGATCACAAAGCAAGATGATCGAAGCTTTACAAAATAGGGTTCATCCAGGGCGAGCCACTGGAATATGTTTAGGGAAACATCTTTATCGCTTTGGATGTTTGTCGTCATGTTGTTCTAGCACGCAAACTTAGCAAGATTATTCAAACGGACCAATAATATCGACAACTTGATAATTGAAAAGAAAAATGAGTTTTTATTTTGTTTTATCTGGTTTTGCACACAACAAACAGTCGATTTTGGCAAATCTCGGGTGTTACAAAATTATGTCAACAAAAGTGGCCAAAACCAACTCCAAAATCAAAGCCAAATAATATTATAGCTAAATTTTTATGATTTAGATAAAATATAAAACATGTACAGATCCTAAAAAGTGAAATAATAAAGTATAAACTCCATTCATTTAGTTAGACCGTTGACAAACTGCAAAAGATCTTTATTAATAAAGTTATTTTCTATTATAACTCATCCTTGACATTGTTACGAGCCAGGCGTAACGAGAAAGAAAAGCCAGCAACAAACTTGAAACAATAACAAATTTATTACAGAAAAAATATTAAAGAAAAAAATTAAATTACAAATTATGTTAACAAATACCTGAAGTCCAAATA